CTCCTCCTCCTCCTCCTCCTTCTCCTTCTTCTTCTTCGTCTTCTTCTTCGTCTTCATACTCCTCGTCTTATTCTTCTTCGTCTTCGTCTTCTTCTCCTCCTCCTCCTCCTCCTCCTACTCCTCGTCTTATTCTTCTTCTTCTTCTTCTTCTTCATCTTCTTCGTCTTCGTCTTCTTCTTCTTCTCCTCCTCCTCCTTCTTCTTCTTCTCCTTCTTCTTCTTCTTCTTCGTCTTCTTCTTCGTCTTCATACTCCTCGTCTTATTCTTCTTCTTCTTCGTCTTCGTATTCGTCTTCTTCTCCTCCTCCTCCTCCTACTCCTCGTCTTATTCTTCTTCTTCGTCTTCTTCTTCATCTTCTTCGTCTTCGTCTTCTTCTTCTTCTCCTCCTCCTCCCCCTCCTCCTCCTCCTCCTTCTTCTTCTCCTTCTTCTTCTTCGTCTTCTTCTTCGTCTTCATGATCATCGTCCTTATGATCATCATTGTCATAATCATCATCATCATCGTCGTCATCATCATCATCATTGTCATCCTCATCATCATCATCATCCTCATCATCATCGTTGTCCTCATCATCATCGTCGTCCTCATCATCATCTTCGTCCTCAATTTCATAATCATCAAGATTGATTAGTGGAGTACGATCGATGAACTTTGGAACTCGCTCTCTGGCCTTGGATAAATCATTCATCCTATCCAATGGTTCAATACTTTTGTTTTTCTTTGAGATGCTATCATTCTTTGAGGACTCAACATCATAAACACTACTCTCAACCTTCAACAAGTCATCACAAGAGTTAGTACAATTTTCATTCACTAAGGAGATTCAAAGTATATATAATGATACACGAACAAGCCAAATAATTCAACATTTAGTATATAATATAAGCAAAAAGATTAATCCATTAAACAAAAAGTAGTGTACTTCTGGAGAATACGACACAAGTGTAACATCAAAAGTGAAAAATACGTACAACTTATCAGATGACTACTTAAAACATAAAGTGGATTTCAATTAATTAAGTACCTGTTGTTTAAGTTGAGTAGCTTTGCCCAAACGAAGAGGAGCACTTGAACTTCCTGGCTGATCTCCCTTTATCTGATTATGTCAATTATAATTGCATTTTTATTATAGTTTTTCTCAAAAAAATAATAAAAATAAATCCATAGAACAACTACTAATATACGTGCCTCAGTCCCAAATGAGTTAGGATTATGACTAAAACATAAAGTAGATTTGAATTGTACTTGTTGTTTATGTTGAGTTAAGCTTCCTCGATGCATATTTCCCTTATTCAGATCAACAACATCATTAAATATAGATGGATCTTGAAAACGATCAACATTAGCAACATTTTGCGAACATCCTCTTCTTCCTCTTCCTCTTCCTCTACCTCTACCTCTTCCCTTTCCTGTACTACCTCTCGAAATGTTGTGTCGATTCAGAATTTGATCATCATGAATAAGTGGAGGAGGAGGAGGTGATGGTAGAGTATCCATGAGCATGACATGAATTTTATTCAAATCAATATCTTCACGAGCTAACTTTTTGGGTTCGCCTTTTTTTGACTTTTCGATTAGTCCACGCTCAATTAATTCTCTTCTTTTACTTGGCACCATGTCTCTGATCCGTTGCACTTGGTGATCAGGCCTAAAAATTAAGAATTATATAAGGTTATATTAATACTTACTTTTCACACACACATATATATACTAGGAACAAAATTATAGTTCTGTCTACTTGTTCGACATAACCTAGAGTCAAAATCATGTACTTGTATCTAAAAATTTACTTATAATATGAACTCTCTTTGTCTTAAATTATGTGAAAGGGTATGGAGTACGAAGATTAAAACATCTCATTTTGACTAAGAATTTGGGCATAAATTCTTTAATTTTTAAAAATAAAAATGTATACACAAAAATTACTCCAGATCAACATAGCTAATGAATC